AAGGCCCTCCGTCGTCCGCCCGTCTCTCGGGGGCCGCACACTGAACTCTCTCAGAGGCCACACCCCCACACAACACGCCATGGGAAATGTTCGTACGTGTATTCGCCACAAGACGGCTCTCTACATGCAGTCGTCACCCTCCCCGGCACAGGCGGCGCGAACGGAGAGCGTAAAACCCGCGAGGAAAACGCCCGCGAGCGGCCCGTGCAGCGACACACGGCCACAACCTACACGCGTCGCCCAGACAGCGGACACCTGTCGGTCACCCGGGTCGTTGCCACCCCGACCCTCCCCCCCCCCTCATCGTCATCGTCCGGGGGCCACCACAATGAACCCGCCCCTCCCCTCGGCAGCCACCAAACGACGTCGCAGGACGGCCGCCATGAACCCTCCCTTCCCCTCGGCAGCCACCGCACGACGTCGCCTGGCGACCGCCATGAGCCCCCCCCCCCCCGTTCCCCTCGGCAGCCAACGCACGACCGCTCCCGAAATCCCCACCCTTCCCGTGGCAGCCGCCGGAGCAGCACCTCCTCCCACGCGCTCGCACCGGGCGCCGGCGCGCTCAGCGCTTGGATTTCTTGCGGATCTTGCGGCTGGGGGAGCGCGACCTTGAGCGGGAGCGGGAGCGCCGGTGCGGCGGCGAGCGGGAGCGAGAGCGCCGGTGGCTGGGCGACTTGGAGCGACGCCGGCGGCGCGGTGAGTGAGACCGCGAGCGGCGGCGTGGCCTGCGGCAAGGGCGGCACTGTCAGCGGCGGCGGCGGCCGGCCGGGCGCAACGCCACATGACACAGCGTGACGAACCATGCGAAGGCGCTACTGACGGCGCACGGCAGGCACAGAACACGACAGAACGCGTGTACGTGTGTGTCCACAAATGTGTCACGAAAAAGACAGCGGATCATGGTTGATAAGCAGCTAAGTTGTAAGTGAGAAATCGCATGGGGGCAAGCAAACGACAATCAACTATAACAAAGAACCGCAAGAACACGATCAATTCTTAAACCATTGGAAGCTGTTCCTGATTACAGCATGCCCACAACCCGCCCTTCCTCACCACGTCTAATCCCCTAGTCCCTACACCCAGAAACTTAACTCCACGGATTCTTCCCCGGCCCGCCGACCTTACCCGACCCCGGCGAGAGCACAGCGGGCCGGCGGCGGTGGTGCGGGCGCCGCGCCCCATACCTGTCCGCCTTGGGCGAGCGCGAGCGGCGCCGGCTCGGGTACGAGTGGTGGCTCTCGCCGTCCGAGCTGGACGCGCTGCGGTCGCGGCGCCGCTTGCGGTCCGAGAGCTGCCGCTCCGCCTGCGGCAGGGCGACGGGCGATGAGAGCGGGCGGGGGCCGGGCTGAACCGCGGCCGGCAGCAGGCTGACGGCAGACGCACGGCCGGACCGCGGCAGACACACAGCTGGACCGCAACACACGGCTGGACCGCGACAGACACACGGCTGGACCACGACTCCCGGCTGGACCGCGACAGACACACGGCTGGACCGCGGTAAAGCACACGGCTGGACCCGCGGCAAGACACACGGCTGGACCGCAAACACACGACTGGGCCGCGACAGACACACGGTTGGACCACAACTCCCGGCTGGACCGCGACAGACACACGGTTGGACCACGGCAAGCACACAGCTGGATAGCGCCCGGCAGCAGACCGTCGACAGACACGCCAATGGACCGCGGGGCGACCCTCCAGATCTCCTAGACGACCAGGTCCCCGTCCCCCCCAATCGCCCCGCACGCTCCACCCATCGACCAGACAGCCGCCGCGGAGGCGACGAGTCGCCTCCCACGCCGGCCAGACGGACCGTCGGCGCGGACCCTCCGCCCCCCCCCCGCACCCTCCCCACTCGCTAACGCGACGACGGCCCAGTGGGGAAGCCGAGGTCACCCGACCCAGCGTTAGCGGAGACCTCCCCAGACGCGACGAACAACAGCGCGACGGAACGAGCAATAGCGGCAGCCGCCGAGCCAGCGGCGGTAAACAATGCCGCCGGAAATAATGGGCCGCCAGCACTGCCGCCGGCACCACAATGCGACCAGCGCCCTCACCACGCACGCCTCCGACCAGGCGCAGCTTAGGGACAGACTCAACCGCCGGCTGAAGGCGGCTTCACAGCGCGTTTAATAACACCTTATTCGAGAACCGGACTTGGCGAAGGCGCGGGGAACGGCGCGTTACATGTGCCACGATGAGAGGAGGGGTTACCCCGCGGTTCCTCGGGGGGGAATCTGTCGACTCGTTCTGCTGGTTATCACGTCTTGGGGCACCGGAGTTTGAAAACGTTTCTCAATGGCCGTTTAGGCGCCTTGGCCACCGAAAAATGGCCTCGCTCTCCACTTCTATGCGGCGGAAATATAGACATTCCGAATTCTGCCACATTGTTGACACCTTGTGTACCGTATCGTTTTGTCTAATCGTTATGCAGACGTGAAGTGCTTATGGAGTAAATTCCTCGATGTCAGTGATCTTTCTAAAGATAATCAGAAACCATGGGCTGGCATGCACTGATAGTTCCCGATAAATCAAGCCAGATCATGTCATGATATAGTGAAGTTTCAATCACACACCACACACGTGTCACGTCAGTTCAAGCGCTGACATTCTTCAACATGACTGCAAGCAGAAACAGAATAAGGGTGACGCTTGGCGCATCAATGTCTGGAATAGATTCATTTAAAATGAAATAAATTCAGTTAAATTCATTCACTTCACCCCCGGAAGTAATCGGTAGAATGCTTCGAATCAAACAAGCTTTACTCTGGTGAGCTGTACGGAAACAGCAAAACGTATCTAACTCGCATCTTTTTGACATCTGACATCTTTTGAGCCGGCGTAACAAGTAAAACATAACATACATCCTACAACGGTCCTAACATACATCCTACAACGGTCCACGTAAAACCGGCACATGACGTCTAGGGCTGCGCAACTAGTTCGTATTGGCTTTCACTCGCCGGATATAGAATCCACAGCCACTCTGATCCTCCCCGGCCACTGAAAGGGACATCGAAACGAGCCTCGGCCAAGCCCCAGTGGCCAACGACGTGTTTTGTGGTGGCAAAGCGGATATTGTTACGTTTCAGCAGACAGTAAAAGCACAGCAGTGTCGACTAAATTCATTGCGAGAGCCAGCAGTCGGATCTCGTTGGCCCAGGGGGACATGCCGCAACGAGCTGTGGAAATCACGCCAGCACGGAGGCAATCCGAATATCGCGCCGATGCGACCCTAGGCCCCCCCCCCCCCTCCGTTCCGCCCACCCAACGCTTATGACAAACTCCGGCTGCGTACGTGTCTTGCTTCCTTTCCGGGTCATTCGTCCACTGAGCCGGAGCGGTACGCCGGCGTGAACACCGGTGCTGTTCTGAGGTACTACAGCGCCGCCGTGTGGGCCAGTGCCGGCGGAACTCGACCCGTGACCCCATCTTCAGGCGACATGCTGGAGAGGTTGTGTGAGGAGGTGAACCAAGCCGCGCACAGTTCCGCTGCCTCGGAGGAAGGAGAGCTGCGTCGCCGGAAATCGACCGATGACATGAAAAACGGCGCCAGCCTCACGTTTCGGTGATAATACACTGGAGGACTTCTGTAACGAGCTGAGCCAAGCTCGATCAGAACAACAGCGACCGCCAAGTTGGCTCTGCTTCTTCACGAGCCATCTTGCACGGTTACAGTACAGTTGGCGGTCACATCTAGTAAAAAAACCGGAATGACGGAGAGCTGTAAACATACTGTTTAACATCACAAAACCAGGAAGTCCTTAAACGTTTGATTCTCGGTCTGTTGTGTTGGTACTCTGATCCCATGACCTCGTGATCTTATAACCGTGGCATGCCTTGACCAAAAGCAGGAAATGCGACTTCTCAGCACGCGCTGGGTTGGCAGACAGGCTGGTTGTTTCGCTGGTCGTTCCGAGAAGGAAAATCAGATAGGTTCTTCACACAAATGGCTTTCTGTGGGTTTCTTGTCAAATCTATGGAAAAAGGTGCCAAAAGTCACAAAAAGAGGACATTTTGAGCAAGGAACACACGGACGTGACTTTTCCTATGGAAGCAAACTACAAGAGCTTATCAATTTGGTGGGTAAGCACAACCATCTAGCATCCGACCTCTCCCCATGCTCAATACTACAACCCAGCCAATGTACGGGACAGATATAACCACTCAACACCTGCCATTTAATCTTGTCTAGCGCTGTGACTCCAGCACCGCCATGATCAACCTAAAGTGGGTTACATGGCTATGCTCCAGGCCCTGCCAATGTATTTTCGTAAAATATGTGGTGAAAGGATAATAACATCACATCCGGTCCATGTTTTGGAGACCATAACTAAGCCCCGAAGTCGGCATTCTCATAACATGACCCGTTTCTGCTCTGAAAATCCAATAAGAGCATCTTCGACGAACATTTACGTTCCCAGCGGTGTCAACGTCTCTTGAGCTTCACCGCTAAAAACACATGCGCAATCGGGGCCGCAGCCGCCTGCGAACCAAACGGTAGGCGCCAATCGCCTTCGGCATCGCTCCCGGCCGGCGATCTCGGCCGACTTTACAGCCTCCTAATTGGATTGATGAGCTGGTTAGCGTGGTGCTGGCGTTGCCGGCCGAGCCCCATGCCGGACGCGTCCAAAGGTCGCCCGGTTGTCGTCAGGGGGAGGGGCGCGGCGCGGAAAACAGTGCGGCCATTCACAGGCCCGCTCGGACGCCGTTTTGCCCCCGAGAGGGCGTCCGTCTGATGTACTACGCCATTTGTCTCCCCGCCAAGGACCGACTCGTTATTGTCGCAACGCCGTCGACGTTAGCCGCTGGCGGCGGCTGGCCGGCGGCGGCCGCCACATCGCTGCCGGGCAGCCGTCGGCCCCAGGTCTGCATGCGGACGGGGCCGCGGCCGGTGCCGGGCGTCTGGCGGCAGCGCCAGCCGCCGCTGGCGGCGACGCTGCCGCGGCCCAGCCGCCGCCAGCGCTCCAGTCACCTGGCGAGGTGAACGCCGACAGACGTATCACAATGAAAGTGAACCTGGCGGCGGGAAGACGCGGCGAAACGGGGTGGGCGAGGGGATGGGGGAGGAAGCCGCCCACCGCTGCCGCAGACGGAGGCTCGGGGAAGGCATGTCAGGGGGACGGCTGGGAGAGAAGGCAGTGAAGTTCGTCTTTCATGTTCAGCTGGGCGTGATATCACCACTCCAAGTCACCTAAGTTCGGCGCATGCCGGTTCCGTTTGGATCCTGGGGGTCACACGTGGACGCCACTGAATGCAAGTCAAGGGGCAATCGATCAACTTCCGATAACTTCCGAATGATGGATGACCCTCAAATAGTTTTGACGGGTTGAATAACGAGATTAAGTCCAGCCAGACGCTGTTGACCCAACTCATACGGGTCAAAATTTCTCAGCTGCAGCCACGGACGCTTGGTCACGTGGGCTGGGCAAGAAACACCCATCCTCAGCCATAGTGCGCACCATTTCGCATTTTGTTAGCGTTTTGAATTCGAGCGGCGTGCAACAAAGACAAAAGCTGTTGTGTTTCGCGCCGTCAAGGCCAAAAGAATTAAAAACAAAAGTAAAAACTCACAAACCAATGTCCTGTGCTTTACTGAGCCAGACCGTCAGACTGGTGGTGCCGCGTCAGAAGGCCGCTGGGGCGGACCAGGCGCCAGCCGCTTCTGAAGCTGCCCCTTACATTCATCGCACAGGTACTACAAAACTAAAACACGCAGCAAAAACTTCAATCGGCGTCCAAGCCGCGCTCCGCCAGTTTGCGTGTTTGTGTCCGCGACGAGGTTTACTCAGCATTAAAGCGCTTACCGTTGTGCACGAATGGCCTCCCCCACGTCTGACAGCCCACAGCACAGATGGCTTCGCCCCGAGCCTTCTCCACGTCTGACAGCCCACAACACAGATGGCCTCGTCCCCAGCCTCCCCCACGTCTGACAGCCCGCAGCACAGATGGCCTCGTCCCCAGCCTTCTCCACGTCTGACAGCCCACAACACAGATGGCCTCGTCCCCAGCCTTCTCCACGTCTGACGGCACGCAGCACAGATGGCTTCGTCCGCAGCCTCCCCCACGTCTGACGACACGCAGCACAGATGGCCTCGTCCCCAGCCTCCCCCACGTCTGACGGCACGCAGCACAGATGGCCTCGTCCCCAGCCTCCCCGACGTCTGACAGCCCACAACACAGATGGCCTCGTCCCCGGCCTCCCCCACGCCTGACAGCTCACAACACAGATGGCCTCGCCCCCGGAGAGAGCAGCGCTGCACTGTCGCCGGACTTCCGCCTTCCGCACGTGCTCAACTCGGCGGGACGCCCCGCTCCGGGTGGCCGCCAGGCGCTGCTCACCTTGCGCATAAGCTTGGCCCGGTAGTGCTGCACCTGTTCCTGCAGCGTGTAGCCGGTCTTGACCGAGCGCTGACCCGACTCCAGGTCATCCTGGTAGGCCATCACCTTCAGCTCCACCTCGCGCAGCTTCACCCGTCTCTGCTCGGAGGCGTCGCTGGCGGCGGCGGAGTGGACTGTCACACACCGGGCGCCCTTCGGGCTCGTCAAAAGTGCCACTCCGGGGGGAAGGGAGGGGGCTGCGGCAGACGGGGCAGTGGGGGGGGGGGGGGGGGGGGGCGGTAGGGGGCAGTTACATGGCAGCCGCTCAGAGCTGGTCAGAAACACTGCCCCCGGGCGGGCCAGTTATACAGCAGCCGCTGAGGACCTCGCCACAAATGCAAATGCAATGCTTGCCGACACCAAACAGGCCGCGTCGGGGAACAAGACCGAACCAGCACGGGCACTTCGACCGCGACGTCCACGCGCCTGTCTAAGATGCAAATGCCCCAAGCCAGCTGACCCAGTGTCAGCTTTGACATTAACATTAGCCTACTGTTTAGTTTTCCTACTGCGGTGGCTCATTACCACGGGCGAAGCCAAACATCACGAGTGTCTGCCGCGGAGGGGGGCGCTGTGGCGGATCTGGCCACGATTTGGCCCCGGTTCGGGGCCGCCCCGGTGACCGGGCCCGCGGCCGGACACGGTGCCCATCCAGGGACCGCTCGGCCGCCGCGGTCGTCCCGCCCAGCTCGGCGAGCGCGACAGCGCCGAGCCGTAGCTCTCAGTTCAGCTGCGGACAGAAGCTGTCTCCGATCGATCCGCCACCGTGGCCCACCGCCGTGAAGGCTCGAGATCACTGGCAGAAGCTAGCGAAACATTAGTATCTGACATTGGGCTCTGTATTGAGCTATTGAACGGTGAGGGCTGCGCACCTGTGGGAGTTCCTGTCACACTTACGGTAACCCGTCAACCGTCGCACTGGCGGGGCTCCTCACCGACGCAGAACTGCCGTGGGGGGGGGGGGGGGGGCGAGAGGGGTGCGCCAGCCGCACCCTTGGATCTCGGATTCCAATAAAACTGGGGGGAGGGGGAGGGTCAAGTTCCGGTCGATAGTCTGCAATTCAGAACGCGCTTTGTGTTGACCCATTTTGGCATCTACGGTCAATCTCATTTCAATGGCCTTCTTTCATTCAGGTTGTCAATCGCTCACGAAAATGGCTTGGCGATAAATGGATTCTGAAGACGAATTTGACTGAGATTAACATTTTTAACAAAATACAGCATCCTATCACATAAAAAACGTCACCAGAAGACTGGTCTACAACAATCTGCTGCGTCGCATAGCACATCCACGTGACAGCGAGTTTGCTGGGCAGGACACGAACCGCGAACAGTTCATACTTCTCGTGTGTATAGCGAAAGGCGCGGACAAATGGTCAACTTAGGATCACGACCATTGGAGCTCCTTTGGTGTCATGACAACGATCACGGTCTCGAAAGTGACAATGTCCAGTTTAAAGGTGGGTAGCGCTAACGAGCCAAGCACCTGCCGCAGGCATCCCAAAAATCAGAACGACAGGTCAACTTTGCTCAGTGAACTGGGATGGTCCCGTCGCTATTGGGACTTAACGACGCACTCAGCTGCTGAGGCTATACGGCGTCGCCTGCCTCTCACCCTGGCAGGGAAGGCGGGCAACGAGGGGAATCGATCCCCGTACTTCTGACTGCCCAGCGTGCAGCTTCACCACACTATCGGACTGGGATGGCCTAATAAACAACACTTGCATAAACAGATACACAGTTGGTGGACGGTAAAACCAGACATGGCGTACAGACAACGGGTAGCACGCTGGAACGCATGAACACGCGCCCAGGTGGTCGGTTGGATACCCTTCGCTCGGTTGGGGGTTAATTTGACCAGGCCGAAATATCACAAACTGACAGAGCTAGAGGCACCAAACTTACAGGGTGTGGCGCCCTTTTCGTGAACTCAGTTGGGTCAAACGTTGAGGTTCCTAGGTCATGACCTTCGGGCTAAATAGGTCAAACAAGGTCAAACTCCAGGCTGGTGCCCAGTGTCCCCAGAACCTGGATATCTGCTCTAAGCTAAGGGCCACATGCTGAAGGGAACATGCTCACTCAAGGTCAGTGACCTTGCTTGACCTTTAGTAGGTCATGGTGACCAAAATAATAAACGATTGATTTAAGTTTTCCACGTGAATAAGCCACAACGATTACGTTAGGCAGCATGCTCCCAAAAACAAAATGTTGACCAGGTGCATTTCAGGTCAGTGAACTATTCTCACCTTAAAAAAACTTATTAACACTTAACACTTATCACTTACTTAGCTTATTAACACTTAAAAGAACTTATTCACACTTAAAAAGTCGTTTGAGGGTACATAATGCGCTTCCTGTTATCCGTTAATTCGAAATGAGCACCGGAAACTACCCCACGCAACAGGCCCTTGAGTAATAAAACAGCAACAAAAACAGAGCACAAAAAAACATTGGTTTTGACCTGGGCCTGAACTTTATACCTGACTTGACTATACCTGACCTGACTACACCTGACTACCTGAGGTCAACGAAATTCGTCCATTCAATCGTTGTTGCTTTAGTAGGCATCTCAGAGATGTATGGTTTCGTCTAACACTCCGTTGTTGCATCAGATTGAACGACTCCATAGAAATTGACTTCGCTGAATCCATAGTCTAGCCTGCCGTAGGTCAGTGGCATTACAAGGCACAGCTAACTTTTTAATGCCAACAATCCGCTATTCAATTGTCCACAGCCCTGCAAAATTTGGCGCGACTGCACCGCTCCGTTCGGAACCCATCCCGGAAAAACCTTCGGGGGAGGGGGCAAACTGACCCCCACCCAAGTGCGTTAATCACGACGGCTACACCGCACCGCACTTTGGACCAATATCCTACAAGCCGTGTAGATCAGTCAAGCGACATGAACTTGACCCTGACATTTCAGGGATGTCAAAAATCGATGTGGGCAGGCACGTAGCACACTGAAAGCCTCATGAGGCCGGCGAGTTTCCGCGGCGGTTCTGAGAAAGGCTGTTGGAACGGGTGTGGTATGGTCTACGCCAAGGTCAGTAATACGCCATGTTGTCATAGACTTCGACTGCCGGAGCTCCTCTGTCCCAAAAACGTTCGCTGCAATGTCACCGGTTGTCATGCCACGTCTCAGACAAAATCCGACAGAATCCAGGCGACGCGATAAAACCAATATCGCAATATACGCAACGAACACAAGTCACCCACTCTCTGCGGCGTTTCCGCCTTGCATGCATATAACCGGCAACCTATCCAGTGAGCACCTACGATGGAAGAAAGCCACGTCCCAATGATGCACAGCACGCACTGACAGCGGCGGATGTCTTTCATGCCACGGCTACGCGCCCCGATCGACGAGGAAAAACGGACATCCGGGAAAGGGGCGCGCCTTAAATCCGCTACTGAAAATGAAACGAGTAACTTGGGTCGTTAAGAGCAATGGGTACTGCAAAACTCTCTTCCCCTCCAGTCCGGCCCAATTTGGCGGGAACATACCCGCGGCACAATCTTCTGAGGCGATATTTATCATTGAATTTATGATATAGTTACAGTTATATATTGAAAAGAGAAGATAGTCACCAGATATTCCTTACGGCCTGAAATTTTCTCTCTGGCTTGAATGGCGAAATTCAATTCCGTTGCAAGACACGTTTGTAGCGACTCGTGCAGCTCCGGCCAATGTTCAACAGCGCCGGCTCCTTCGGTAATTCTGTGTCCAGTTATAGAGCTTCAGCGGCTTGAACTATGTCTCCGAACTTACCCCCGACTCAGGACCCGCGCCCCGCCATTCAGACGGCTTCCAGCCACATCTGGGCAAACGAGGGAGCACCGCCCCGCGCGGGGGGCCATACATCGACATCACTAGAATAGCAAAGCCATCTCCCGTCAGCGCAGGGGGTGCTGAGCCTTGCAACAGATGGAGATGACGCGTGATGACGCATTGCCCCCGCACGAGACGTCGCCGTCGGTCGGCATTGGCATGCATGAGCCCGCTACCTGGCCCGAGAAGACGGACGAACTCCGCCACGACCTGAGCACCAGCATTCGTTTTGAACGGTTTCGAGCTATTCTGGTATGATCGCATTCATCAGCGATCCACGGCTAAACTCTCCGCGCCTTCTGACGCATGACGACGCGGGCTGGGAGTTCAACCGCAGCCCAGTCTCGCGCCGCCGCTGCGTGAGCCGATCTCGGCCGGGTCAGGCGGCCCGTCGCCCACGAGCGCCGTCTCGGGGCCACTCCCGCGATCAGGCACGCTTTTAGCGCCGAGCTAGCAGCGCGTCGCCAGCGCGGACCGCTCTCGCCGCCGCCTGTCCGCGCGGCCGTCCAGTCCATCTCGGCGAGGCGGCCGAGGCCGAGGCCGAGGCGGCCGGCGCGTGGGCGGCCGTCGTCAGCGCGCAGCGCACGTCGGCCGGGACGCGTGGCGCGAGTCAGCCGGCAGCGGCGCGGCGGCAGCGGACTAACAGCCGCCGCTCGCCGCCGGACCGGGGCGGGGTCGGGGCCGGGCCCGGTGGCTGCCGTCGTGCCCGCCGCGGCGCCGGGCTCGACGGCGGTGACGCGGCGGCACGCCGGCCGTAGGCCTCGGCGATAGAGCATCCGGCGCCGAGCGGCGTTTGGAAACGCGAAGCGATCACACAGTGTCGTCCAGCAAGGAATCGCAGAAGCAGGGGCCCTACTGCCAGAAGACCGCCTTGCTCCGAGACCGGTGTCGGCTCCGGCTTGCTCGCTTTGTCCCTTTGTCTCCATGTATCTGCTTCCTCCCCTCCCATCCCCTTCCCCATGCCTCTACCCCTACCCAATTCCTCCGTTACCTTCCTGTCTCCCTGCACGCGCCCGAGCCAGTTCCGAGAGTCCCATACCCGACAGGCGACCCTGGCGCCGTGTTGGTGTTGCCCTGGCTGCGCGAGTCCTCGTCGGCCGGCTCGTCCAGCGGCACGCCGTCCACATCCTCGTCGCCGTCGCTGTCGGCGGCCGCCGGCGCCGCCGGGCTGGGCGCCGCCGCCACCGCCTCCCACTTGGAGGTGGTGACGGCGCCGGCCGCCACCTCGTGCGGGTCGACCGTCTCCCAGCGCGACGGAACGAAGCCGCCGGCGGCGCGGCCCGGCGCCTCCGTCGTGCGCGCCGCCGACGGCCCCTCCGCCGCCGCCGCCGATCCGTCCACCTCCTCCACTGCGGGCGCCCGGGAAGCAGGTCAGGTGGGCGTGGCGCGTGGCCACAGTCGAGTGATGCCCCCTTCCCCCCACCCCCACACACGCACGAGGAAATAATGGGCTTGCGGTGCTCGGGTGTGTCCAGTGATGCCTGCCGACGAAACAAACGCTGGCACTATTATGGTAGTGAAACCAAGCACGATTTCGCCTCCGATCAAAAGTAAGGGACACTTTTAGCACGCAGCGTTTCCTTATCACACAATTCTGAGACAGTGCCTGTCCATTGTTTTTGACCCACTTAGGGTGCAACCCAACGGAACTGCGAGGGCGCGCACCACGTTTCTAGCATGCGACGCTCACGCAAACCCCGGGCCGGGTCGGCGTCGGTCGCCACCGGCCTCTAGCGCCACTCACGCGGCACGCCATCCACGTCATCATCGTCGTCGGCGGCGTCGGCCTGGCCCTGACGGCGGGCCTTCTTCAGGAGGGCGGCGCCGTCCAGCGGCACACCGTCGACGTCGTCCGAGTCGCTGAGCGGGGCGCCGTCCACGTCGTCCGAGTCGTCGCCGCCGGCCTCGCCCTCCGTCTGCGGCAGACGGCGCCGTCAGGCCGGCCGCCGGCGCGGCCGCGCTCGCCGGGTGGCCACGCCGGCGCCCGTGGCGGCGGGGCGCCCGCCGGGGCCCGGCCGGGGGTTCAGCGCGCGGCGCGAGCGACTCCTCGCGCTGCAGACAGCCGGGCAGCCAACGCCGCGTCCGGGTCGGTCGGCTAAGCTGGCCTGCGTCGCGCACTGCTGACAAGGGGGGAATGCAGTCGCAGTGGATCGGTCACTGCGGAGGACACCTTTAGCACCCGAGTGGAATGAAATGCAGCGCGTACCATTGGCAAACACGGGCTCCAGTCAAACAACATGCGTATCTGCGCAGCTTCAGTTGACCAGGCCTGACAGGCGGCCACCGGAACACCTCAAGGCGCATTTGATTGACTGGAGGTCACCATTAGCCAATGTTAAACGCAACTGCGTCCAGCTATACGACGCGCACCCCGAGTTCGCCGGCCGGCTTGTGCGCACATGCCGCCGCATGAGCAGCGATACAAACCAGCGCCTCTCAGAACAGCAAAGACGTTGCAACGCCGGCTACTGTTAGTGTGACCCCAGGTCGCGCTGTCGGGTGGCTCAGATGAAACGGAACCTAATTACTGGGTCTGCGACGTATGGACACCCCAGGACACTGCTGCCCCCGTTACAAGTTGCATGGCTCGCGCCGATACTGGCGTTCGAAGTTCCCGGTCGGGACAGATGAATTGGCGCCACCCGCGCGGGTCACCAAGGCACCACGCATGGAAACCCGAGGCCACAGACCTGTCACGGGCGTCTGCTCTGGCCCGTGAGCGGCCCCTCGCCCCTTCCCCCACCTCACCGCGCTGTCCTGGCCCGTGAGCGATCTCTCACCGCGCTGTCCTGGCCCGCGAGCGATCTCTCACCGCGCTGTCCTGGCCCGTGAGCGGCCTCTCACCGCGCTGTCCTGGTCCGTGAGCGGCCTCTCACCGCGCTGTCCTGGCCCGTGAGCGGCCTCTCACCGCGCTGTCACCACAGCTGCGACCGGCCGGGTGTCCAAGCCTCGGTTAGGCCAAGTTCGACCGATGCGTTTCGCAGCGCGCGGCCAACCCACTTCCAACTGACCGCTCACACACCGAGTCCGCAGTGAGCCAGTGTCAAGAGGGTGAGCGAGTGAGCACGCTCCTGAATGAGTCAAGGGAGCAGTACACCACGCTTGATGGATTAAACAGCGGATTTCCGCGGCGGCCTATCAGCCACGGTCGCCCCCTGAGTCCCTTGAGCGGGACACGGCCGACGAACTGGCCATCTCCCCTCCCTCCCCATTCCCCGGCGCTGGCCAGTCGAGGCAGGAGAGCACAAAGCCGGCGGGCGCCGTCTGTCCGCCGGCCCGCGTCAGGCGGCGCGGCCGGTGGCTTCGGCGCTGATGACTCGCGGGACACGACGAGGCGCGCCGTCTGCCACAATCACCGCCAACACACAATCGAATCAGCGGACACCGCACGGCTCCCGGCTACCGACAGCGCCGAAGGCCAGTGGGGACGAGCAGCGATCAGGGAAGCCTGGGGAAGACGGACAGCGATCGGGGTAGCCTGAGGACGAGCAGCGCTCGGGGAAGCCTGAGGAGATCGGGCAGCGATCGGGGAAGCCTGAAGAGGACGGACAGCGGACAGGGAGGCCTGGGGAGGACGCGCAGCGCTCGGGGAAGCCTGAGGAGATCGGGCAGCGATCGGGGAAG